TACTATCCATAGAGACATTGGTGGCGGCCATCATTAACAAGACAACAAGGTTGTGTGTGGAATCAAATTCCGCATCGGGGTTACCTCTTTAACTGCTGAAGAGGCTCCATCAATTATTCCTAGATATCTTTCTCTCTCTCACATTCTCTGTCCCTGCCTGTCTTTCACTTTCTCTCTCTCTCTCTCCATCTGCCAAAAATCACGCGACACCGGATTACAGTCCAACAGGTTTATTTGAAGACACAAGCTTTTCGGAGTCTCGCTCCTTCTTCAGGTGTCTGAGGTTCAAGGCAGAGATGAGGAGAATTTCATTCTGTCACCGTGTGAATTCTCTTTCTCCAGAACGCACTGGAGGCTGCGTCTTTACGAAGATTCAAAGTGCAGTTTGGTAGATTTTTGATTGATTCTCTTCAGCCATTTCTTAGTGAATGATTGAGCAGGTTTGAAAGGCTGAATGGCCCACACAAATTTTACTGTTCCTAAGGGAACAACCCCAGCTTCCTCTGACTCTCCACATTGTGGAAGTTCAACATTCCTACACCTTTCTAGTAAATCTCTTCTACACCTTGTCTTGACAATCTAAGAACTATATTTAACTCCTTTGAGAAAACATCTAATATTTTGCCCTCTCCACGTTCAGTGACTGAAAATGCCACAGGCTCACCACTCTCTGGGTGAAGAAGCTTCCCTTCATGGAGGAGAACCATAAGATTCCTACACAGTGGAAGCAGGCCATTCGGCCCATTGAGTCCAACACCTACCCTCCGCAGAGCATCCCACCCAGACCTATTCTACTACCCTGTCCTTCTAACCTTGCATTTCCCATGGCTAACCCACCCAGCCTGCACATCCCTGGGCACTATAGACAATTTAGCGTGACCAATCCACCCTAACCTGCACTGTCCTAAACGGCCTATCCCATATCCTTAGTCTGTGACCCCCTGGTTCTGCCCTGGTTTTTGAGAACATCGTTCCTGTGTTTACCCTGTCTAGACCTGTTAGAATTTTATAGGGTTCTCCAAGATTCCCTCCATCATTCTTCAAACAGGTGACTCTCGGCCTAAGCTTCTCAATCTCGTCCACTGGGAGTTTTCCTCGCCTCATGCCTGGGACCACAGCATTCTGACAATGACTTGCATTTATATAGCGCCATTAACCAACATTCCTTCCAGGCTGCATGGCCACTCTGCAAACTGAAGGCCCAGGGACAAGTTAACATCGGAGTTCAGTCAGTACAACAACAACAACATGAAAGAGCTCACAGTCGTAAGTGAACAAAATATTCAGATAATGGACAGAATCGAATGGCATGTCGTCTGTAAGTAATAAGGTGTTCACAAAAAGGTTTGATGGGAACTGGCGGCTAGGACGAATCGACAATTCCATTATTGTTGTGTTAAATGTTTACCAGACTGGCAGGCAGTGATGTAGACAAATTGTGGTCTTTTATCAACCGGTAATTTCCAAATAATGAGGTGAAGCAGAAGCTGCCTTTGATTATTCCTTCATTGCTCTGTCATTGAGTAATCCTTTACCAGTCAGTACAGACCCTTTGATATAGATTTCAATGCAGGCTTCAAACCCCTTAATTCAGTCATTTGAAGATCCCTCTGATTATCCATGTCATCCTTGTACATACTCACTGGAGTCACCCCACTGCAACTGGGAAAAAAAAAGTTCCTGCCTTTGGGAGCAGCTGAGAAATCACTATGATGTGGTAAGACAAGCCTCTGAGCTTTATTATCGAGTCAAGAGTCACACAGCATGGAAACAGACCCTTCTGTCCAACAGGTCCATGCTGACCATAATCCCAAACTAAACTAGTCCCACCTGCCTGCTCCTGGCCCATATCCCTCCAAATCTTTCCTATTCATGTACTTATCCAAATGTCTTTTAAACTTTGTAACTGTACCTGTATTCATCACTTCCTCAGGCAGTTCATTCTACACACAAACCACCCTGTATAAAAAAAACTTGCCCCTCATATCCATGTAAATTTTTTCTCCTCTCACCTTAAAAAGTTGCCCCCTTGTCTTGAAATTCCTCATCCTAGGGAAAAGACACCTACCATTAACCTTAGCCATACACCTCATGATTTTATAAATCTCCTATGCTCCAGTGACAAAGTGTCCCAGCCTTTCTTTGTCACTCAAACCTTCCATACCCAGCAACATCCAGTATTCCAGAAGAGGTCTCACCAATGTCCTGTACAACCTCAACGTGACTTCCCAACTCCTATACTCAAACGACTGCACGCTGTAGCCTGGCTCTGCATTTTCGTAGCCTGAGGCTATGGAATCAGGTCACATATCAGATGCTTCAGCACAGGTCAGTACTGAAGGAGTACTGTACTATTGTGGGTGCTGTTATATGAAAGCTTTGCATTTTGTGCAGCATCATCGTAACCTTGCAGTGACTCCCGAAGTTAAATGGGGGTCCAGTTATCACACCCTCCCAGTGCTTCAAATGCGTGTAAATATAGTCTTGTACAAGTAAGAGATGCCTTTGGTTTGTTTGTTGGATAGAGAAACTCCAAAGCTTGTTTCCTCAAACGCTATTGTACGGAACTGAACTCCATTTGTGACTATGTATAAAGATATCTTCTATGAATAAAGAATATTTTTGGAAAAGAGAGAGTAATCTCACAATGTAACCTGAAAGGGCTGAGAAAATGATTTACAAGGATGTTGCCAGGGTTGGAGGGTTTGAGCTATTTGGGGAGGCTGGATACGCTGGGGCTGTTTTCCCTGGAGTGTCAGAGACTGAGGGGTGATCTTATAGTGTTTATAAAATCATGAGGGGCATGGATACAGTGGATAGCCAAGGTCTTTTCCATGGGGTAGGAGAGTCCAAAACTAGAGGGCGTAGGTTTAAGGTGAGAGGGGAGAAATTTAAAAGGGACCTTTTTCAACTTTTTCACACAGAGGGTGGTGCGTGTATGGAAATGAGCTGCCAGAGGAAGGTGGTGGAGGCTGGTACAATTACAACATTTAAAAGGCATCTGGATGGGTATATGAACAGGAAGGATTGAGAGGGATATAGGCCAAATGCTGGCAAATGGGACTAGATTAATTTAGGATGTTTGATCAATATGGATGAGTTGGACCGAAGGGTCTGTTTCTGCGCTCCACATCTCTATGACGCCAAAAGTGTTGTATCATTGATTAAATCATAGAACCCCTACAGCGTGGAAACAGGCCCTTCGGCCCAACAAGTCCACACCGACCCTTGGAGCATCCCACCTAGGCCCATTCCCCTATAACTCACCTAATCTACACATCCCTGAACTCTACGGGCAATTTAGCGCAGCCAATCCCCCTAACCTGCACATCTTTGGACTGTGGGAGAAAACCGGAGCACCTGGAGGAAACCCACACAGACACTGGGAGAATGTGCAAACCCCACACAGACAATCGCCCGAGGCTGGAATCGAACCCAGGTCCCAGCAGTGCTAACCACTGAGCCACCGTGCTGCCCCATTCTTCAAATCATTCTTCAAATGTAGCTACTATTATAAACATAGGAAATGCAACAGCCATATTGTGCACTGCAAGCTCCATCACATAGCTATGAATGTTTGTGGTGACAAATATTGAACAGGGCAGTGGGGCAGGTTCACCAGCTCGTCTTTAAAATATCCGTCATGCGATGGTTTACATCTGCCTGACTTAGTTTAACATGTTCACCCAAAAACGTGCCAGCTCTGACAGTAGGGTACTCTCTCCATGTTACCCTCAAGCACCAGCTTGGGTTTTGCTCTGCAGTCCTAAAGTTTAAATCCCGACCCTCCAACTCCAACTCCAATGCAAATACATTCCACCAGCTCACCCAACTCTAGAATCCTTAGATCAGTTTTCACCCTTCCTGCAGCTTTGGGCTCTATGTTGTAAGAAGGATATGGAGGCCTACAGCGCCTTTTCATTTAGATACTGACTGAGACAAGAAAATACTACTCTCACTGAACTTCAACAACTGTTTGCCTTTAATACAGCAAAATGACCCAGGGCGCTTCACAGGTTCACTAATGCCCTTTAGGGAAAGAAATCTGCCATCCTTACCTGGTCTGGCCTACATGTGACTCCAGACCCACAGCAATGTGGTTGACTCTGGGCAATTAGGGATGGACAATAAATGCTGCCCTAGCCAGCGACACCCTCATCCCGTGAATGAATAAAGGATAAAAAAGACCATTATCGACCAAAATGAGACACCGAGCCACAAAGGGAGACATTGGAGTTCTAAAGGAATTTTTAGGGAAAATTAAGGGTGAGGTAGATAGGGAGAGATGTTTAAAGTGTGGAATTCCTGAACTTGGGATCAATCCATTTGAGGGTATGGTCAGCAATGGGGAAGTGATGATCAAGGGGCGCACAGAGGGGTTGAAAGGCCACGGAAAAATAATATAAAGACCTACAGAACAACTGTTCTACACGTCTCAGAAAACATAGAACATTTAATAAAGAATCTCCAAGGGGCTTTACAGGAAGATTTCAAGAGACCTTTTCTCACTAATGATTGGTCAACAACTCCATGATTGATCTGTAATCCAGCTACTGAATGGTGTGAGGGGAAGTGAGTGAAAGTTGTTTTTATTTAAAATCGAGCAGTTCGTATCGAACCTGCCACTGAGGAGAGGCAAAGGTGTTTGAACAGATTTTTGAGCATTTCGAGAGGGAGGAGCTGATGGCCCAGGAGCACAGGAGTAGGATGTGGGTACGGAGACTATGAGCAGCTCATTTTGAGAGAAGGTATACGGCGACAGCCTAACAGGAAGGGCAGCGACAGACTCCAATCTGGAGATGAAATCCTGGAAAGGTGCTTCTGCAGCGGAAGGGCTGATGCAGGCAGGAAGGTAGCGTAAGGCTGGGAGTAGTCTTGGTGATGGACCGTGTATCATAGAGTCCTTACAGTATGGAAGCAGGCCCTTTGGCCTATCAAGTCCACTCTGACCCTACGAAGAGCATCCCACCCAGACCCAACCCCCTACCCTATCCCTGCAACCCCACATTTCCCCATGGCTAATCCACCTCGCCTACACATCCCTGGACACTATGAGCAATTCAGCTTGGCCAATCCACCTAACCTGCGCATCTTTGGACTGTGGGGGGAAACCGGAGCACCCGGAGGAAACCCACGCAGACACGGGGAGAATGTGCAAACTCCACACAGACAGTTGCCCGAAGGTGGAATCGAACCCGGGTCCCTGGCGCTGTGAGGCAGCAGTGCTAACCACTGAGCCACCATATGTAGATGGTCTGATGGTCCTGGTAAGTAATTTACTCTTTTGAAGACACCAGCTCCCTTGGGGATTTCACTCTACTCAATTAAAGGGCCATTTACTCTCTCGCTGACAGTCAGTGCTGATGTTTAGAGCTGGTTTAAAAGCCTAAATGCTCCCACGTTCGGTGTTTAGAAAGCTCTGTAGCTGTCTTCCAATAGCAGGTTCCATGAAGCGAGAGATAGTAGGAACTGCAGATGCTGGAGAATCTGAGATAATAAGGTGTAGAGCTGGATGAACACATCCAGGCCCGAAACGTCAGCCTTCCTGCTCCTCTGATGCTGCTTGGCCTGCTGTGTTCATCCATGAAGCGAGAGTCTGTTTTGTCCCCTGTTTAAAATCTGAAGACAAAGGATTGAAGATTTAAAGATGGCCTGAATTCTAAATCCCACAGCTGAGAGCACGCACTTTCCCCTTCACTCAATACTTCAGGCCCTTTGTTCGGTTTCTCCTTTCCAGCCAATCTGTTCGAGCAATTCCCTCTGACTTGCCCTCAGGTGATCCATTCAGCTTCCTTCAGAATGAACTGGGACACAGTGAGGGGCTGAAGAAAAAAGCGCTCAGCTCCATCTGAAGCTCATTCGTGCGGAGACAGCCTGCTCTTTAAATGTCTGCCCTTCCCCCACCCTCCTCCTGCTCTCCATCCCCCATCCCCCCCGCAAACGGCACATTGTCCAACTCTTCGTCATACAAGAGAGCAAGAACTGCCAGTGCTGGAGTCTGAGATAACAAGGTGTGGAGCTGGAGGAACACAGCAGGCCAGGCAGCAGAGGAGCAGGAAAAGCTGACATTTTGGGTCTGGACCCTTCTTCTGAAGGGTCCAAGGTGAGCAGGCTGGGTGGGTTAGCCACAGGAAATGCAGGGATACGGTCTGGGTGGGATGCTCAGACAGTGTGGACTCGATGGGCCGAGTGGCCTGCTTCTACACTGCAGGGATTCTACAATTCTGAAAGAATGAAGAAGGAAAACTGCTGAAGGACTCATTCACCTCTGGCCATCAGGACAAACCTGACGTAGAGACAGTAGGTGAGATAACAAGGTGTAGAGCTGAATGAACACAGCAGGCCAAGCAGCATCAGAGGAGCAGGAAGGCAAGAGACAGTAGGTCATTGGTATCATACCTGACAGCTGCCTTGGGGATAGAGCCATACAGCAGAGAGCTCAAGCCACGATAAAGCCCCTTTACCCCATGGTCCTGCACCGTCTGTTTCACACAGTCACCTAGAGAAACAAAACAAAAACAGCTGATTCTACTACAAAAGAACGTGCCCACGTCTCCCCTCATTTCACACAGCAGGCCATTCACCCCCTCGAGCTCGTTCTGGCACCATCTGAGGATTGCAGCATTGGCTTGGTGTGGTACATTTTGTTCCTCTGAGTCAGAGGGTCGTGTCCCTACTTCAGTGATTTGAGACAATAATGTTGATGGACATTGTTGGTACTCAGGATGTGGGAGTGTTGCACTGTTGGAGGTACACACTTGCAGCTGGGACAAAAAGGCGATAGGCGTTACTCTCAACAGTTCGCTCAGGTGGATGTAGTAGGTCCCATGGCATCACTGTTTCTTTAAAAATCAATGAGCAGGTAGGTACGTTCTCCCTGGGGCCTTGGCCAATAATTATCCCCCAATCAACATCACCTAAACAGATTGTATCATGTCGTTATCACCTTACTGTTTGTGCACAGACTGACTGCTGCATTTTTGATATTACAACAGTAATTACAAAGGTTTCTCTTATTTCTTAGGGTTGGGTATCACTAACAAGGCCAGCATTTATTACTCAGCCTTAACTGCCCTCAAACAGTGTGTGACTTGCTGAGCCAAATGGGATAACACAGTGTAGAGCTGGAGGAACACATCAGCTTTCCTGCTCCTCTGATGGTGCCTGGCCTGCTGTGTTCCCCCAGGTCTACACTGTTATCTCTGACTCCAGCATCGGCAGTTCTTACTATCTCTGAGTGAGCCAAATGGGACTTTTTTTTAATTTTAATCATTCACAAAATGTGGGTTGTGGGTATTTATTACCCATCCCTAATTGCCCAGAGGGGCAGTTAGGAGTCAATCCCACTGCTGTGGGTCTGGAGTCACATGTAGGCCAGACCAGGTAAGGATGGCAGTTTCCTTCCCTAAAGGACAGTAGTGAATCAGATGGGTTTTTCCCCAACAGTCAACTATGGTTTCATGGTCATCATTAGACCCTTTAAATTGAGACTTTTTTGAACTTAATTCAAGTTCCACTATCAAAGATGGGATTCGAACACAGGTCCCCAGACATTACCTGGTTCTCTGGATCAATAGTCTAGTAATAATACCACTGGACCATTGCCTCTCCCTGGACAAGTGGTAAGGACAACGGATTTCCTTCCCTAAAGGATATCAGTAAACCAGACAGGCTTAATTCGCTATCAAGTGCCCAAGGTGGTAAAAGACGCTATTTAAATGCACCTTCTTTCAATTATTTATCGCCCATTCATGCTAGATGGATGGCCGACAAATGCTGACACAGCCCGTGGCAATAAAGACCATGAGTGAATTAAAAACCATCCTCGAGTTTGTAAATGCAGAATCTGTGCAGACTGATGTGATAAATGGCCATGTAACCTGCCCTAAGGATGTGAGAGATTCTCATTATCGTAGCGAGCTGGGCCATGGGATCTATCCCATCCACCTCAGCAGGCAGATTGGCCTCATTTGAAAGATGGCACCATCGACAGTGCAGCCCTCCCTCAGTACCACACCGCAGTATCAATCCCTCAAATTCTGGAGGGAAGATGTGGAGAGGTATCCATTCGTCAAGAGCTAAATTCATCCATTTATTACATTTCGTGACCAGGGTCACCTTCCAAGGAGAGGGCACAGGAGGAGGGGCGCGAGGAGGAAGAGGGGTGCGAGGGGGAGGAGGGGCGCGAGGGAGAGGAGGAGGAGGAG